TCGAGTGAGCAACTGCCGGTAGGCTCTCCCCGTTCCAGTGCAGTGTGCCGGTGCAGCCGGGCGGCGCGGCGGCGGCGGAGTGAACGGAGTGGACCTGGCGGCGGGGGTATCGCCGCTCCGCTCCGTTGGCGAGGAGCACGGCCAGCAAGGCGCGGCGCCGCAGTGCCGCCACCCCCCGGCAGATGGCGCGCTGTGCCTGGTGCGCCCTCTAGTGCGCCCCCGACGTCGCGAGCACCGTGGCAACGCGGCAATCCCCGGACTTGTTGCGCGGGCGCTTCAAATTTCTGTTCGCGAAGAGAGTCCCTCCCTCTGACTCGGGAGTTTCCCCCTTGCTTCTTGTCTTCTTTTCTTAGCCTGGATTTGCGACATTTTCGAGCGCATAGCGCCACCTACCCGAATGATTCCCACTTGCACACAGTCGTCACGTCGTCCGAGCACAGTTAAAACAAAATCAACAAAACACAAACAAAAATGGAAACAAAATTTCACAGCCGACGAGGAAACCACGGGCATAGTTTTATATTCTGACACCGATTTGCCTTCCCCTCTTGGTTTCGAGGATTCGAATTTGTTGAAACAAACGGCGCCACCCCAGTAAGCCGTTTTCGTTTTCGTTTTTTCTGTTTACCTCTCCCCTTGAGCCACTGCGAGCGTGAAAGCGAGCAGAGGGAGGGGAGGGGTGGGGGTGAAGTCGTGCCGAGAATTTACAAAATTCAATCCACTGGCGAGCCGACCCGGTGAGGGGAAGGGGGAGGGAAGTGGGCTGAAGGGAGGGGCAGATCAGACACCTCTTCCAGGTGTTCCTAGTCCAATCCTGGAAGGGAGCGGGACTGAGTTGGAGGCGGTCGGGGTAACAGGCAGTGCGAAATGGGGTCGGGGTGGCGTGGGGCGCGGTCAGGCGGGGAGGGGGAGTATCCCCGGAGCGGGGAAGGGCGGCGGGGGCTGGGGTAAGGCTGGGGCAGATAGAGTGCAGTGGTTTCCAGAAAATCCGCTAGGAGGCGCAGGGGGTCTAGCGGCGGCATAGCGTCTCCGGTCCGGGACGGGGACGACACGTGCTCCGATCAATAACTGGAGCAGCTCGGCTCCCTTCGGCTCGGCTCGGCTCCACTCGGCTCAGCTCGGCTCGGCTCCACTCGGCTCGGCGCGGCGCGGCTCGGCTTGGCTCGGCTCGGCACGCACCGAGTGCGAACGAGGCGGGGCTCGCGAGTCCTGTAGGCTGCAGAGAGAGCGACTCTGCTGGGGGGGCTATTCCGCAGGGCTACGCAGGGCCAAGGGCCTGGCATGGCAGCTTCTGGCTCCTGGCCGCCGCTGCCGCCGCCACCCTGCATGCCGCGGACTAGCTGCCGGGACCTGCAGACCTGAGCCCTGGGCCACTGACTTGAGGGCTGCAGGATTCTCAGGCCTCGGAGAAGGTACTGCATGCCCACTGCTAGCAGAGAAGTCACCGACGAGTTCCTTCCCACTCAGCAGCGGAAACAGTCTTGATCATGATGCACGAGGCCCTTTCAAAAGGTCGAATCTTTCAGTAGTGTATTTTTAAAATTAAATAAGTAATTGAATTGAGCTCAGAGTGTTGTGCTGGCTTTTACAGAGCGGCGCCTTCTTCAACACGCACAGTCCATTCCGGCTGAGCTGCCCCCACCCCTTCCGCCACTGTTGCGGGCAATGCTGCTCGGAGGCCGTCCGCCCACGCCCGCCTCGGCCCGCCACCCTCCCGTTCGCGAACCGAAACAGAGGGCAATATTGGTTTTTAAGAGGAAAAAATAAAACAAGCTAATAACATTAGCTTTAGTTGTTACTAAAATGTTCAGTTAGAGCTTTAGACTATTTACTGGAATGACAAGATCACTTCACAGATCCATCTAAACGTTGTTTCTTTCTCCGGAAGAAAGGTTTAGCTGTCACCCGTAAACTGTTTTAATAGAGTTTTGAATGTGTTTAGCTGCCACGCCTAAACTGTTGAGACATGCTGTTTAGTCCCAACCACTAATATTTTAGTCAAGGCAAATGGGCCTAAAAAGTTTGGATACCACACCTAAACTTTTAGTCGTGGGGTCCAATCATGTCTCTCAGTGTGGTTCCCACCCGAACACCGAGGCAGAGCCGGCGAGGGGAACGGCGTGGCCATGGACCCCGCGGACCCACCCCGCGGGCCACCCCCTGCACGGATGGCCCTTCATCTGCCGATCGCGAACTCTTTTCGACCAGATATTTCCGGTTGTGCCTCCGCGCCGTTCCGCGCTGCTCCGCGTCGACGCGGCGGCGATGGCCACTGCCGCCACTGGCTGGGCGCGCGTCCGTCGGAGTGGCGCAGCGGAAGCAGCCTGGAGTGGCCCCTTGGGTAGCCCAGGCCAGCCTGGCCCGCCTGGCCCAGCCGGAACGCCGTCCATGAGACGGCCGGGCTGGTGGGGCTCGGCCGGAACACCAGAACAAAGGTCACGGCGGGTGGGCCATGCGGGGCATTATGGCCGGAACAAAGACCGTGGAAAGCAGGTGGGTGGGGCATGGTGGGTCGCGGTCGGATGGCTGGAACAGGCTATGGCGTGCGCGTGCCGCGGTTCCCGTGCGGGCCGTGGTTGTCAAGCGCGTCCCCGATTTGCCTTTTGCGGAGGCTTTCCGGCATGCCTCTTTAGTCGCCTACTTGCAGGAAGGTTCAACCTCCGACGCCTTATTAAAGGCCCAGCGGGTTCATAACCCCCGTGGCCTCTTCTTGGGTGGGTGGGTGGTTACGCACCTTATGGCCGGAACAAATGCCAAGAAAGGCGGGTACTGTGATGGGTCGCGGTGTGTCGGTGTCGGTGGGTCGCGGTGGGTCGCGGTGTGTCGGTGGGTCGCGGAGGGTCGCGATGGGTCGCGGTGGGTCGGTGGGTCGTTGCGCGGCATGGTCGGCACAAAGGCAGCGGGGCGGGTGGGCCGTGCAGCCTGCCTCGGACTCGGGGCCCACGCCAGGTCCACAGCCGCACTCCGCAGCGCTCCGCACTCACGGCACGGCACGGCGGCACAGCGGCCGTGGGCTTGCCAAAGTTGAATGAGTGAGGCCGTACGGCGAGGAGGCGGAGCGGCGGAGCGCGGCGGAGCACGGCGAGGCCACAAAGGGAGACGCGTCGCCTGGAGGTGGAGAGACTCTTGCAAAAGTGTTGGAAAGGAAGAGGCTGAGAGGACGGCCGGAGGAACGGGGCGGAGAGGGAGAGAGAGAGAGAGCGGGGCCCAGGCCGCGGCCGGGCGGTGGACAGAGAGAGACCGCTGCAGCGCGCTGGCGGGGGTGGGAGGCGAGGCAGGGTGACTGGCTGCGCGGGAGGCTGTGCGGGTGTTGGCGGGGTGGAGGCCCCATTGCGCAGGCCCGCAGGCCCGCAGGCCCGGTAGGTAGGCAGCCCGCGCGACCAGGCTCGCTCGTCCACCCCCCGCCGCGCCCCGCCGCGCCCCGCCCGTAGTGCCGAGGCAGCCAGGGCAGGCGAGCCTCAGTCGCCATGTTGAGCTGGGCCAGCACGCCGCCGCGCTGAGCTAGGGTCGCGCGTCACTTAGGCCCCAGCCCTGCCCTGCTCTGCTGGAGGGGCCCGCGCGCCCCGACACGCGTGCGTGCGTGCGTGCGTGGATGTGTGAGTGTGTGCGCGTGCGTGTGTGTATGTGTGTGGTCACGAACGGATTATTGCTCCAGGACTGCGGTGCCTCTTAGCGTCTAGCAGGTACGGCATGGTCAGGCATGGCACCCAGCCCGCTCCGCCACCCCTCCCCCCGCCCCACACGCACCCAGCAGCACGAGTACTTACGCCCTGCGCCAACAACAACATCGTGCTTCGTGCCACCGCGCCCTCCGCGCCCCGCCGCGCCCCGCCCCTCCGCGCCGCGCCCCGCCCGCACACCTTTTTGTGCTCTCTGATTGGGGGCGCCTGGATCAATTATTCCTTTATTCCCCGCTGCCCACTCTGTTCACGTCTGAAAGATACCGCCACGGGCTGCGAGTTCGTGCGAGCCGCGACGCTGTCGTCGCCGTGCTGCGGACCAGACCCACGTGTCCGCGGGGCCCAGACGCCACTGTCCGCGGGGAGGCCCTTCTTAACCTCCAAGTCGATCTGGCCCGGGAGATGCGCTTGGCTTGGCGGGCCACCTGCAGCAGGAGGCAAAGAAGTGCGTCCCCTCGGCCTCGTCGCCGTCGGCGCCCTCGGAGGAAAGCGTCAAGGGGCGTAACTGCCACCTGGCGCTCCGGCCGCTGCGGCCTCCCTCCCCCTCTGCTGCAATCCCTCCGAGGGCGCGCGGCCGTCCCGCGGCCGACCCGCGGCCCGCAAGGGAGGCAAGGAGCAACCTCGTGTGGAGGATGGAGGAAGCGGCGCGGCCGTCGCGGCGTGGACAATGGCACGACGACGAGGAAAACGCTGCTGGGGGCGAACCTTTCTTCCAATTCACATAAAAATTTGCAGACAAATACATGACCTGAAAGTACGTAGCAGTTACTGCTACTTTCTAGAATTCACTTGTAAATTTATAATTTTGTTTGCTGATTTTGTGCAGCAGTATTTGAAACAGTAACAAAAGATACAATATTTACGACAAAATTTATCGCTGTTCCTCTCTGAGTAAAAATAATACATAATGAACCCCTCGCGAATTGTTCCCAATAACCATTGCAGGCAGATGTTAAATCCCGTCCCCTCCTTCCCTTCCCGGCCTTGCAGGGCCTTGCAGGGCCTCCTCCAGGGAACACCTGCCACCTCCTTGTTACGCTTGGACACCTGTGCGCAGCTCGGCCCGGCTCGGCCCCTCCCGTCGGCCCCATGGCGTCGCGGGCCGCCACCGCGCCGTGGCCTCGGTGCGCTCGGGCCCCTCCGTCGTCGTCCTCGCCACCATCGTCGCCGACGCCACGCTGCCCCGCGGCCCCCGGCGGGGTGCGGGTGTAGCCACGCCGTGCCACCACGCTGTGCCACCACGCCGTGCCGTCCGTCCCGTCGCTGGGGCTGGGCCCTTGGCTGGGCCTCGGGCTGGGCTGGCCCCACCACGCCCCCACCGCGCCCCACCACGCCCCACCACGCCCCACCACGCCCCCCGCAGCGCCATGATTTCCTCCGCCGGCTGATGGACAGCGGGACCGCGCAGGCCGCAGCCACAGCGCTGGCCCACGGTAAGTTCGTTAGCATAGTTCATCTTCAGTTTTAAAAAAGGAAACCCTTTCGTCCGTTGAGGACCCAATTATACCGCATATTACGGTAAAATACCGTATTTATCGTTTTTTACGTAACTTTGAATCTTACCGGTATTTTCACATCCCTACTTGCACATCCCGCACGGGTGTGACAGAGACAGGCCGATGGGAGCCGCCGGCCGCCACTTGGAATGAGCCCGACGCCTTTTGAATAAAGGGAGAGGAAGCGAGGAAGGCTTCACCTGTTGGACGATGGCGTGTGTCACCGCGGTTAGTGCGCCGTGCCCGTCCCGCGGCTGTCCCGTCCGCGCCCCGCGGCCCCGCAGCCCCGAATCCGCAGCCGTTCGAAACAGTCCATCGCGCGCCGGAAGTGGCGAAGTGGCGGCCCGTTTAAGCGCCACGCCGCGGCGCGCCGGTCTTTAGCGACAGCGCCAGACTTGGCGGCAGACACGCAGACGAGGGGGAGGGACGGTGGCCATTTTCCACAAGCATAGGTACAAAAGAGTATGGTGTCGTGAGGTAGCCCTCGCTGGTGGAACTTTAGCGCCTTTCTTCAAGCGCAGTGGTTGCCGGCCTCCTGCGTAGTTCTGTTGTGCCCCGGGGGTTTCAGATGACACACAGGCCCGCGGAGGGCCCCCGTCAGCTGGAGTGCAGCGGCAAGGAACCGAGGTCCCTTCCCCGTCCACCACCCGGGGCACTACAGCTCTTCGTTCCGCCCCTCTTCCCACTTTCCAATATGCGTGGGAGAATTTCTCCTCTAAGCTTGGGCTCCAAGCGTTCAGTCTTCAGCGTTCGGGTTTTTTGCTCCTTTTTGCCCCTTTCCGTGTGTATCCAAGCAGAGGGTATGCGAGTGGCGTGGCACGGGGCGTGCTCGCCGTGACGGCGGAGTCGTCCCATTTGACGCACTGCTTGAGGGCGCCGAGGTCTGTGGCCTGGCGGGAAGCCTAGGGGGCCCGCCTGCATCGCGTGACCGAGCCGAGCCGAGCCGAGCCCCGCCCCGCCCCGCCTCCACGCCAAGGCATTGCACAGCGAGTACTGCCGCGCCCCGCAGTCCCAGGGGAGGCCACGCGAAGGGACTTGTTGAGCTCCGTCGCCGACACCTGGCCGGCAGCAGCGAGCCCCACAGCACCCCGCATGCACTTGGGTGCCCTCCCAACCTCTCAAGGAAGGCTAAAAAAAAAAACTTTTGAATGCGGAAGCGCGCGACGATGCGGTCATTTTTCGCTCCCCCACTCACCCTCTCTTTCTCTCTCTCCCTCTCTTGGAAGGCCGTGCTCGCGGGTCGCGTCGCGTGACGGCCGGTGGCAGTGGCAGCCCTGCGTTACCTCCCTGCAGACTGATTCCGAGAGTCGTTTTCGTCGCTTTGTCTCTCTCGCTCCTACGCGGAACGCCCTATGAATGAGAGAGACGACTCTCGGGATCAGTCTGCTGGACGCGTGGTGACACGCACGCGTGCGGCGGCCTGCACTGTTAACACGGCGGCCGGCCGAGGGGCGCGCCGCGGCGTGCGGCACGGACAGGGTATCGATTGCCGTCGAGGTGTTCGGCCCCGCCGCGCCTCGCCGCGCCTCGCACCCGATTGGCCGATTGGCGAGCCGCAACCAGTGAACGCGACAGCGCGGACCCGCAGCCGGCGCCCGGGCTCATTCCGAGCAGTGGTTTTCGTTCGTCGTATCGCCCCGTCTCTCTCGCACTCGCAGGGCGCCCCACGCGGGGTGTGCAGTGTGCGAGAGGGACGGAGACACGCGATTCCAGAAAGAGACGACACTGTGAAGCCCAAGTGTGGAGGAGGAGTGGAACTTGCGGTCTTCCTGAGCGGAGTGCTCTACGTTTGCATCATGCCGAGAGACAGCCCTGGGCTATGTGAGGTGCTCCTTGCTCCTCACTCGAAGAATGGAAAGTCCACACGCCGTAGTGTGGATTCTCCACACTTGGTTTTGACAGTGTCCGTCCACTACAGGCAGGCCCAGGCCCAGGCAGGCCATCGGGCTGCCAGCCGCCAGCCAGCCGCCTGCCATCGGGCGGATAGGCAACCCGGTCGGCGGGGCCGCGCGACGGGACTGCCAGCCTACCGGGCGCTCTGCTCCGCCCCGCCCGCCCCGCCCCGCCCCGCCCCGCCCCGAGCAGACATGCCATGCCGCACTCGCGGCCGTACCTTTATCGGACGATAACGCTCCACGCTCCCCCCGGCCGTCTCCCGCAAAATCGAAAGCAAAACAAAAACAAAAGATAGCTGGCACCTTAAAGAGGAGGATTTTAAGGTACCACCCGCAGGAACCGAAAAAGAGGACTGGCTCGGAAAATTAATTGGTAAGAATCGCGACCAAGGTAATTCTCACCGTGCTGTGGTGAGAGTCAACTAAACGAGCGAAACTGAACCTTGTTGCGACTGGGGAGCGGGAGCCAGGCTATGACCTGCGCCGTCAGCTAAGTAGTGTACCCAAAGTTGGGGGAGAGAGAGAGAGAGAGAGAGAGAGAGAGAGAGAGAGAGAGAGAGAGAGAGAGAGAGAGAGAGAGAAGGGCGCAACGCGACGCGGGCCGGCGGAAGGCTGCGGAAGGCCCGGGCAAGCCCAAGCCGTGGAGCAGCTATTGATCTCTCGGGGAGGCAGGGGACTGGCAGGGACTGGCAGGGACTCTGTGCACGCACGCCGGGGCCATGCCGGGGCCATGCCGGGACCGCGACATGCTTTCCCCGCTTCTGGAAGGGGGCGTGCGTGCCCCCCCCCCCCCCCCCCGTGCGTGCCCCCCGCGTGCTTCACCCGTGCGCCCCAGTTTTGGGTACGTTTAAAGTGTGAAGGTATCATCTGCTAAAAAAAAAGGCGCAACACGAGACTTTTGTTTCCCTTCCATGTTTTGATGAGCGCGGTGACGTGTGTTTCAGATGTCCGGCTCTAAGGACAAGATGGTGCCAGGGCCTGAGTGCCGCCTGCGAGGAGGGGCCACGTCCAGCAACACGTCCAGCAACACCGACAAAGCCATGCCGAAGGTGGGGCCCTCGGAGAAGGCCAAGCCGGACCACGAGGAGATCAAGATGTCCAGCGACAAGGACAAGGAGGCCGAGGAGCCGACGGACGAGAAGCAGGACAACGGCAACGAGAAGAAGGACAAGAAGGCCAAGCGCAAGGAGAGGCACAGGTTCAGGAACGGCGGCGACGACGAGAACCCGCCCCTGAGGAAGCCCTGTTGCTTCTGCTGGTGCTGTTGCTGTAGTTGTTCATGGTGAGTGGGATTTCCTTTGGAGGTGTTGGCGAACTGTGCCATCCGCCCGGATGAGGCAGGCTCCCCGTAGACGGGTGACAGGAAGCGGGTCCAAGTTTCCACTCGACTGAAATCCGTGCGGTGCCATTTCCCGAGTGACCGGACGACCGGGGACACACTGCCGGATGCTGTCCTCGTCGCCCTGGGATTCGTTTAGTGTGATGGCGAAGCACGGACCAGATGACGATGCTTTTAGGGGGACTAGTGATTGTAGTGCGATCAGATCAGTCTTAGGAGGCATAGCCAGCTCAACCTGGTCGATGCTTTGCCTGGTCGTTTCGCGACACGTAGTGACACCATGGTGACACGACGGCAGAGGGGCGAGCACACACATTCTGTCATTTGCGAGCAGATTCAGTGATTTGTCAAGTCAAGCTCCTCCGCTTCTCGGACCCTGACTCTCGAAAAGAGCAAAAACGTAACGATGAACTGCTTTCTGCTGACAGGTTTACCAACTTCCTTTCAAATTGTGTGAGCTGCCTCTGCTTCAGGTAAGAGACCGTGTCGAAGCGTGACCATCTTTTAGAGAATCCGCCGAACTCGTGTTGGGGGAGGCGAGGGTCGCGGGCCTTTCTTTTAAGACGATCAAATCCACACCATCCAAACTTGTAGAGGACTTTAGAGCTGTAGAGTAGGGCCTGCCTTCGATAAACTGTCTCAACTTGTTGCAGGCGATTCTTGAGACTGCTTTCCGAAAGGTATGTACCGCCGTCCACGTCCTATACCTTACCCTGTCAGAGTTTCTCTCGCCAGCCCCGTCTCGGGCAGGCCACCCGGTGGCCGTGCGCGCTCGGCGGGCATGCCCAACCTGCCGTTACCATTACCATTACGGGCTAGACCACACACAACTGATCTATGCCGTTTCGGGCCCGACACTTACCCGCCGGCAATCGGGCGCTCCGCCCTGCCCCGTACGCACACGCACAAGTGCCTCGTCCGGGAGTCCCTCTGCCCCTGTCCCTCGTCGGCCACCCGGAAGGCTGGCAGGCCGGAAGCCACAGGTAGGCAGGGCCTTGGCAGGGCCCCGGCAGGGCCCCGGAACCCGATTTGCCGATGACCGGCAAAGGGTGCAGGCCGTGCAGGCCGTGCAGGCGGGATGATGAGCATGCACACCCTCCTCGCCGACGGGCGACGGGCCGCGACGGGCCGGCCGATGGACTCCTTCCACTCGCCACACCTGTTGACGGCCTGCACGGCCACCAATTCTCCATTCGCCAATAATGCAATTATTGCCCCTCGATCGGCAACAAGGCAACAACAGACTTCCTCATCGGCGTGTTGCCGCCCCGCCCAGGCCCCGCCCGCTCGGCGGCCGGGCTGCCCGAGGGGCAAACGACTTCGGCCCACTGCAAGGCCCAGTGCCCCCGCGTGGCCGGGAGCCGGCCGCTTCCAGGACGACGGCCGCGTGCGTTGGCGGAGGACCGGCGGGGACCGGCGGGACGTAGATCGATCACGGGGCACTGTTTCCGTACATCTCACGCAGCAGCGGGCGGGGCGGGGCGGGGCCGGGTGCGGGACAGCGGAGCGGGACAGGGTGCGGGACTGGGTGCGGGACAGCGGAGCGGGAGGTGCTGTAGCTGCACTTTGCAACCCCCTCGAATGACCTGGCCCGGGCCCGCGACGGAGCCTGGGGATGGGAGCGGCAGGACAGGCAGGCTGGGCTGGCTGGGCTGGCTGGGCTGGGCGTCGTTGGCTGGGTAGGGGTAGTGCCGGCGCGGCCCCTCACAGCCACGCCGCCAGCACGCCAGCAGTACCGCCGTGCGCCGCGACCAGGACGCCACCCGCCGCCGTGACAGCCGCCGGCCCGGCCGAGCGGCACGCCGCCGACATGGCATGCCCGCTCATCTACTCTAACGGGCGCAACGTCGACCTCGACAAGCTGAGCGACGAGGAGATTCTGGCCCGCCAGGGCAGGGTGATCAACCCCGTGCAGCCCGCGCCCTTCCTGCCGCGTCTCGTGGCCGCCTTGCGGCGCGCGCTCAGCGCCACGGTCTCCCGGGGGCTGCACGTGCACGGCCTTCGCGACCTGCACGACCCGCGCGACCTGCGCGACAACCGTCCCCGCGCCGCCCCCGACGCACGCCGCGCCCGCGGGTAGTCCGTGCCACCGGCCTGGCGGCCTGTGAGGGAGGGGGCGCGTCACCCCGACCCTGGGGCCCGCCGCCAGCAGCAGCACGGCGATGATGTGCGCAGCGCGGCAGCGTGGCGACGAGGACGAGCAGGACCAGCAGACCGATGCAGAGCCTGCAGAGGTTGCACGGAGGTGATTCGAGTTCTCGCCCCGAGGACGACGACGAGGCCCAGCTGCTCGTGCTCCGCGTGCAGCACCGCGTGCTCCCCATGCCCCAGCCTCCAGCGCGCTGCTCCAGCGCTACCCCCTCGCAGCCCCTGGCCGCCCCCTCGCCTCCTACCCCCACCACCACCCACCCCCACTCCGGAGCAGCTTCGATCCGCCATCCGACGTGCCAAACGACAAGTGGCCGTGTCAATTCCGCCACAATTTCATTTCCCCTTCCCCGTGTCTGGCAATGCCGGGCGGGCAATGCCGCCGAAGCAATGTTCCTGCTGCCCCCGCGCCCCCCGCCACGTTGGTGGCGGAATTAAGGCTAGGACGCCGGCGTGCCTAAACGCTTTGTCTGGACGCCATGCTTGAAAGCCGTGCCTCAACGACTTGTGTGAATGTCACGCCAGAACGCCATGCCTTAACGCCATGCCTTAACGCCATGCCTCATGCCTCAACTCCCTACCTCACCGCCATCATGCCTACCTGAACGCCATGCCTGAACGCCATGCCTTAACGCCATGCCTTAACGCCATGCCTTAACGCCATGCCAGAACGCCACGGCCTTCGTCCGCCGCGGCAAGCAACAGGAGAGCGCGCAATTTCTCATTCGCCTTTCCGGTCGTCGTCGTCGGGGACCTCGGCTCCGCGGCGCTCACCCACCACTCGGCGGGCAGCACAGCGTGCGAACGGTGTCGCCGCGGGGTGGAATGAAGACCAGCGGTGCTGCGCGCTGCGCCCGCTCGGTCCGCCCGCGGCCCCGCGGTGAGACCCGAAACCCGAAGGCAAGGAGTTCGTCCAGGCCACAGGCCGTGGGGCCCAGCCTGGGGCTGTCCGGCGTGGGGCAGGGGCTGTGGAACATGGAGCGTGAGCAGCGGGATTTTGGTCTATCGCTGTATCCCGGAGCGTAGCACTTCGGGTTTTAGCTGTGGGGCGTGAAGCGTAGGGCGTCGGGTATGGACTGTGGAGCGTAGGGCGTCGGGTATGGGCTGTGCTACGCGGGGCGTGGATCGTGAGCCGTGGGTCCTCGTGGGCCCAGGCCGCCGCGATGGCTGATCCAGTCAGGCTGGCGGCCTGGGCCTGGCGGCCTGGGCCTCGCGGCCTGGCGGTCCCGGTGCGGGGGTGGCGGCGACTAGAGCGGCGGTCTCGGCAGTGGCGCCCTCCATCGGCGGCTTCCCGAACTCGGTGCGCGGGGGTCGATCCCCCAACAGCAGTGCTTTGCCCCCTCGGTGCCTTGCAGTCGTGCCTTGGTTCCCTCCCAGTTGAGGTCGTTCAGGGCGTGCAGGGCGTTCAGGGCGTGCAGGGCGTTCAGGGCGTTCAGGGCGTTCAGGGCGCGTTCAGGGCGTTCAGGGCGTTCAGGGCGTTCAGGGCGTTCAATGCGTCAGGGCGTTCAGGGCGTTCAGGGCGTTCAGGGCGTTCGGGATGAACGGGACGCCACCAGACTGGCAGACCGGATGGACCGCGCCCGGCAGCGCGGCGAGGTTCTGTATTAGCGGGGAGAGTATTGGATCGAGAGGGGAGCGGGGGCGTGGAGGCGGTGATTGAAATGTTCCGAGTGCTGCAGCAGGCTGATTCCGATGTCGCTCTGTCTCTCTCGCGTTCGCGGGGAGGGCCGTACAGGTGGGAGAGGGACAGAGAGTCGAAAGCGTTGCAAACCTGCAGACCTGCGCCTCGAATACGACTTCGCATCGGCTTTTCGGCTGGGCCGCGCCGCCGACGTGGCCGACGTGGCCGTCGGCAGCGGTAATATTCCTCTCGCTCCGTTTGTATCCCGCGGACGCCAACAAGTGGCCGTCTCTACCACCAGCAGACTGAATCCGAGAGTCGTTTTCGACGCTCTGTCTCTCTCACGGCGGTCATTCCCTGCAATCCGGCGTTAATCTTAGGGCTTCGCTAAAGAAAAATTTGATTCAAGCTGGGTTATATTTTGGGTAGTCCATATCTGGCTGTCACGGAATTCTAAGGTCGTTTCGCCGTCGCCTGCTGCCCTGCCGCCCCGTCAAACGAAAGCGGGTGGACGGCCCTACGCCTACCAGTGTATCGCGTACCGCACCAGTGTACCAGTGGCGGGGCGGGGACGGGGCGGGGACGGGGCGGGCGGCCTCGCTTTCGTTCTTTCTCCCCGCTGCTGTTTTCCTGCCGGCCAGCAGAGAGTCCGTGTCCGTGGCTCTGTCTCTCTCGCGCCAGGAGGGGGCGCCTGTGAGTGCGAGGGAGGGCGTGGCGAGGCGCACTGCAGCGCGGCAGCGCGTTCGACGGCCGTCATTATTTTTAACGACAATCGTGAAAGAGCTCCGTGTGTGTTGAGGCAAAGGCAAAGGCTGCCTGCCGCTGCCGGCTGCACACAAAGGACTCCGCGACTCGCCGCGTTGCCGCGTTCCGCGCACCCGCTCGGAAGGAGCGAGAGAGAACACGGCGGCGGCGCGGCGGCGACCATGTAAACAACAAGGAAAAGCAGAGGCGTCGCGGCGGCCGTGGCCGCGGACCTTGCAGCGCGCAACGCGTCCGTCGCACCGCAGATTGAATCCGAGGGTCGTTTTCGTCGCTCTGTCTCTCTCGCACTCGTGGCGCGAGAGGGACAGAGCGACGTAAACGACTCTCGGAATGAGTCTGCTGACACGGGCACGAGGGTCACGACCGTGGCGGCGCCCTCGCCTCGCGATGCGGACGTCCCGACGACCGCGCGTCCGCGTCCCCGCCCTGCAGGACGTGACGTCACCCGCTGACGCACAGCTGCAGGCTCGGCTCCGGGGCCGCAGGGCCGCAGCAGGGTGGGGGCTGCGGACTGATTGCGGACAGTGCTTCGTCGGTCTGTCTCTCTCGGACCTACGACGGACGCTCCATGAGTGCGATGGAGACGAGCCGACGAGGCTAGGAGGGCCGGAGAACTCAAGGGAGGGGCTGCAGCGTGCAGCGCCGACTTCCGGCAGCGTCGTCGCCAAACTCGAAGCCACCACATCGCCATGCTGGGGGAAGGGAAGGCCCGCGGCGCCCGCGCCCGAAAGTGGGCTACACTGTTACACAAGCGAGTTACAGTGTAGCACGCACCCGGCTTATATGACCGCGTTTATACAGCCGCGTGTTTACATAAGCAGATGTGGCCGACCGGCCGACCCCACCTGGACGGGCAGGGCAGGCCCAGGCCCAGGGCAGCGCGGCAGCGCGGCAGCAGGTGGGCGATGTACCAGGCAGCCTCCATAATTCACCCGCTGACCCCACCCCTGCCCGCACTGGGCCGCCCCGCCACGCCCCGCCCCGCCCCTTCACGCGGAGACCCATGTGAGGACGCGGAGGGAGCGGGGCCGGCGCGGAGGACGAGATGTAGATGACTAATTGGTGAAAGGCGGTTGCGTCAGGCGGGGTTGCGTCAAAGGAGAGAGAGGGGGGAGAATCGGAACCCTTCCCCCGCCCCTTGGAGCA